ATTTGAATAGAGACTTTCATTTACCTTTGGAAGACGCTCACTTGAAAGGTCCTCGCGTACCAAATACTGCAATTTGTTTTGGTAGGAGATCTTGGCTGCGCTTTGCATTTAAAACTTAAATAAATGGAAACAATTATTTTGTTATTTCAAGATAGAAGGAAGTCTGTTAATAAATGTTAGTATGCGACGCAACTTCGTATTTGTGTAATTGGTGAAGTTTAATTTCGGAACAAATTTTCATTACGAGTCAAACGGAAACATCTGTTGGTATTTCCATTTCACACTTAAGGAAAAAACTTTGTTATAAAAGCAAAAACTTAATAGCAATTCAAAGAAATGTGATGATGTGTTACATCTAATATCGGAAAAATGATTGATTTTCAGGAAAACTCAATAAGATCCGATAATAGTCAATTTTGTTACATGCTCTCTCCTAAAAATTGCATACAGATGATAAGGTATCGCAATTTTCGTATGTAATAAGGAAATTTTTTGAAGAACAAAACAAATTCAAATGTTTAACTGGCATTGTGATCGGCTCGTATGACTATAGGGTGTTAACGCCAAGCGTTTTATTTGAGTATAATTAAAAAATTGAAAATAATTTACCGTCCATAAACAAATGACTTGAACGGCTCTCCTTTGCTACACTTTGAAGTTCAATTTTATCCTTCGCTTTCATATTTCTAAGAAAGTAAAACGAGCAAGTGGTATCACTCCCAGCAAGTTAAAATGACAAACAGTCTTCGCCAAAGATCTTAATTGGTTTTTCGAAAAAAAAAAAAAAAAAAACTCGTGGCAATTTCCAAATAGATAAAACTATGAAAATTTACAGATGCCAACATGTTATACTTAACAAATGGAAGAGCCTTGACTGTGCTCTGTTCTGTTGTGAAGCACGCAGGAAGCGGTTAGAGAACGAAAGAAGTGTAGGGAGAAACACTTCTGAGTGCTCTATCCGCTTCCTAAGTGCTTTACAACAGAACAGAGCACAGTCAAGGCTTCTCTATTTGTTTTATAGTAAATAATCTGTTAAATTCCCCACGCATTACTTTTAATTTTCCAAAAAAACTTTTATTCCAAAGCGAACAACAGTGTCGTCAGCATACTCTATACTCTCATAAAGCACGCTACAATAAACCAATCAAAATCCTTTTTGTAATAGTTCAAATAATCTGATTGGCTGAACAAGACTAAAGCTGTCAAAAATGTCAAACCATCAAAGTTCAAAATCCATCAAAGTTCACATTTTGCAATTGCTTTCAAACTTGAATAGTTTGGCAGGTCGAATCTAACACTTTTGCCTGAAATACGTGCAGGTGAAATGTTCAGTGAAATCCGGCCGAATTGTGGCGTACAAAAATGCGCAAGTTTTTTCGCTTGACAAATAGAAAACAAACTGCTCAAAGCGAGTTTTTAAAAATGAGCGGCATCCAAATTCACCGGAACATGAAGATTGCTCAAGATTACAGAGCCGTAAAACTCGGTCGCAGTGACTGATGTGGCCTTCACCACTCAACACATCGGAAAGAACATCAGAGCAAGTTCTTAGTTGTTCACACTAAGGGCGGTCGATGTAATTTCTGAAGCTTGCTTCACTGGCGATTTCCGAGCTAGCCACGTTGGACCTCAGCAGTCGCAGTCGCAGTCGCAGTCGCAGTCGCAGTCGCTCTGACACCGTCATGATTAGTATGAATTTTAATAGTCATACCGCTTTGGCTATATTTTTCATCATTCCTGTTTTGTCCTGTTTGCAATCAAACTGAGCGTGAAAACCTTTAAAACTCGGACTGTCTATTTCGTTTTCTCTTTGATGATTTTCGTCTCTGCTCACGTTATAATACGGCGCCTGGCATGTTTATGAACTTTTGTTTGGTTGTTCTGATGCTACTTGCCGGCTCGCTCGTTTCGAAAGTACACTTTCAATTCGCAATAAAAGCTAGATTAAAGTCTCGGAAAAGGTCGAACATAGTACAATTTGGCAGATGGCGTGACGGCTTTAACTCAGGTTTATGCTCTAAACGCTCATAGAGCACACTCTTTCAACCAATGACAGCGTGCGTTATATCCGAACTTTATTATAAATATATATACATACATATTCCAAGCGATATTCCCCAATTTTGAAGCCTTAAGTCCTCAACAATACAAGCGTTCGTTTAATATTGAATTCAAGATAAAAGAGCGTTTAGCTACTTTTGCAGAAGAAGGGATATGTTTATTTGTTGAAAAAAGTTGTGCCAGAGAATACTGAAAAATAAACAGCAGCTATATTACATTTTTTTCTTTATCATTGAAGTTTAATTTAGAGATGAAGTTGCATTAAGAGAACTATTGAAACATGGAGACATCTGTCAGTTTTATTTTCCCGCAACAAAGGATAAAACCCTGCTTTTTAGGTTAAAAATCATCGGCAGCTAAAGGAATATGATGACGTGTTAAATTTGATTTTGGAAAAACGACCGATTTCCAAGAGAACTCAATAAAAACCAGTGATGGTAAATTTTGTTTCAAATACTCTCCTAAAAAATTTGTATTGTAGTTAAAAGCATCTTTTCTATTGTGACCGGCTCGTATGGCAAAAGGGCGAAAACGTCAACTACTTTGAGTAACATTAAACAAATAACTTCAATGTTTCTTCTTTGATATTCTTTGAAGTTCATATCATAACACTAAGGAAGCAAACCAAAGGAGTAATATCGAACTGACGTCCTGTTTTTTTCTACACCGTACGTGCTTATATCAGGAGTCTCTATGATTATAATAAGCTCTATCGCATTCAACAAAGTATCCTGAAGATATGGTTACTGTTTGTTTCGACTCTTTCCCGTTTTATTGACTCAATTGGAAATAAAGAATTTTAGTTAATTTAAATTTAAGTTTTTTAAGTTAATTTTTGAGTTTTTGAAAGATCGCTTTTGAAATCGGCCTTCATACTAAAAATGTCCGTTTTTTCGTCATTTTCAAAGGCTCGGGAATAGTCCTTATACTTTCTTAAACTTCCCCTTTTTAAGCTTAAATTAAGGATTAACCCTTCCTCATCAAAAACCCGCTCTTGGGTTTCTCAATTTTTTCCTCTGGCAGTTGAAAAAACGCTGCTGAGCTAGTTTCGGCCCTTTCTTCTCTAATTATGGGCTTTTCAAGGCGCGAGTGCAGTCAAATCTCCCACTTCAGTACTGATGAATAATTAATGATGTCCAGGCTTTCTACGCGATGCAATTTAACTCATTAAACATCTTATTACACTTCAACGCCTTCAACATCATTTGAATAGAGACTTTCATTTACCTTTTAAAGACGCTCACTCCAAAGGTCCTCGTGTAACAAATACTGCAATTTGTTTTTGGCAGGAGAACTTAGTTGTGCCCTGCTTTCCAAAACGTAAAATGAATGAAAACAGTTATTTGTGTAATTGGTGAAGTTTAAGTTAGGAACAAATTTTCATCACGAGTCAAACGGAAACATCTGTTGGTATTTCCATTTCACACTAAAGGAAAAAATTTAATAGCAGTTCAAAGAAATATGATGATGTGTTACATTTAATATCGGAGAAACGATTGATTTTCAGGAAAACTCAATAAGAATCGATAATAGTCAATTTTATATCATGCTCTCTCCTAAAAATTGCTTACAGGTGATAAAGCATATTTAAATTTCGTATATATTATGGAAATTTTTGAAAAACAAAACAAATTGATGTTGACAGGCTCGTATGACAATTGGGTGTTAACGTCAAGCATTCGCTTTGGGCATGATTAAAAAGATAGATAGTAATTTACCGTCTGTAAACAAATAACTTGAACAGCTCTCCTTTGCTTCACTTTGAAGTTCAATTTTATCCTCCACTTTCATATTTCTAAGAAAGTAAAACGAGGAGTAATGTTACTCTCAGTAAGTTAAAATAAAAAAGTGCTCGTCAAAGATGTTAATCGGTTTTCGAAAAAAAAGAAATAACACGGGGCAATTTCCAAATAGACAAAACTATAAAAATTTACAGATGCTAACATATGTTATGATAATATATATACATACTTATCCTAAGCGATATTATTACGATATTATTATTATTATTTTGAAATACATACTTGAAAGTTTCTCGGGCAAAAGTATTTTTTTGCTAGGATTTCATGGTTGTGTCTTGCATCTATGTTTCTAGATAGACGGAAAGCGTTGCTTGGCAAATGTTAATTCTGTAGCATTTCATTCTTGCTGTTTTCCTCAAATGTTACAGAATATGGGCTGCAGTCTGTTATTAAACATAAATTCGCGGCTATAATACATGTTTATCTTTATCAATGAAGTTTAATTTTGAGATGAAGTTGCATTAAGAGTGAAAAACTCAGACATCTGTCAGTTTTATTTTCTCACGACAAAGGATAAAGCCCTGCTTTTTGGGCAAAAAATCATTGGCAGCAAAGGGAATATAATGACGCGTTACATTAAATCTTGGAAAAGCCATCGATCTCTGAGAGAACTCAATAAAAACCAGTGATGGTCAATTTTGTTTCAAATGCTCTCACAGTTTGTGTGTTGTAGTTAAAAGCACCTTCTCACTTGTGACCGGCTTGTATGGTAATAGGGCGGAAACGTCAGTCGCTTTATTTGGGTAATATTAAACAAATAACTTCAAGGACTTATCTTTAATATTCTTTGAAGTTCACTTTTATCCAATACTTTCATATTACTAAGAAAGCAAACCAAGGGAATAATATCGAACTAATGTCCTGTTTGTTACTACACCGTACGTGCTTATATCACGAGTCATAATAAGCACTGTCGCATGCAACAAAGTTTCCTAGGATGTGGTTACTGTTTACTTTGACTGTTTGCAGCTTTATTGACTCAACTGGAAAAAGAGAATTTTTAACCAAAGCTCAAGCAACAATGTGGTTAACTTTCATATTCATTACTATCTTATAAAGTGACCGACAAGCGTTGTCTTGTAGAAACCGTCAACCAGAAAGTTAGCTTAGCTTTATAATAACAAATTAAATAATGCCTCAATCGAGGCAGATATAACTCCATGGACAGCAAAATACTTGTCTGATTGTCAGCTTCACTGCTTGTCTCACTTCATTAATCTTCCAGCAGTAAAGAAACGGATTTAACGTCGAGTTGAAGTAAATTAAAGTTGCTGCTATTCCTCTGATGGCGAGTGAATGTGATGAAAATGTTATTTTACTAGCCTCCTTAAACAGGATCTCAACTATGGTAAATGGTACATAACAAACAACTAATGCTAACTGCACCCACAGTACACTGTACACCGCCTTTTTGTACCGCGAAATGTTCAGTGAATTTGGTTGACTCGACTGTAGTTGAGCATGAACTTGTACTTGTGCTTGATGATGAATGAGGGTGCGAAATATCTTTATGTACGAGATCATCGAGATCAGTAAACAAGATGGAATACTGATATATCCAAACCAGAAGGTGATACGGTAATCTAAAATGTAGCATAAAGCAGCAACACTACATAAAATCCAAACGGAAGCTAATTGAATATTTGTGCGCTTCAAAGTTACAGTTTGTTTGTATCTCAGCCCCAACAACAGGGCGAGAAGTCTGTCAACGGTTATGGCCGTCATTGTCCCCAAAGATACTCCACATAATGCAAAGCTGGTTAAGATTGCGGCTTCCATTGTGTATCGACAAAGATTCCAGTGTTCGTTAGCTATGGATATCAAATGAATAAGATAGAGAGGCTGGGTAACAAGACCAACCAAAAGATCAGTTGTTGCTAGACAACGATACAAAAGTTTGGATGGCGGATGGAGGGAAGATTCTTTACGAAGGGCAACAAGGATTAGAGAATTCCCAAGAATTGTAGTGAGAGAGAGGATCACATTTACCACTGCGAGATAAATCGATTGTTGTTGTAATCCACCTGCCAAAGAGGGGAAACATACCAGTTCTTGATAAGTTTCCATTTGTACTCTACCACCTGTTAAATCATTTCTTGCCATCATACTTCTGTGTTCCTTTTTCCTTTAGGGTTACCTGTGGTTACAACGAGAGATAATTCATCGTAACAGTAGCCACCCAGAAATTATCATATAAAAACATCTTGGGGAGATCGTTATGCTTAAACATCGGTTAAGTCAAAAACTCTTCTTTTTGAACTTTCGTATATGCCTCGGGTGTAAATTGGCAGATTGAGAAAAGCATAAGACATCTGCAATAGGCATTTTTTTCATAGCACGACAAATTATTCCCCATGATTTGGATAAACTTTCCTTAGCAGGATTGGTATTTAAGGGTTAATATAACATTTATGAAGTTGAAAAGAATCACTATCAGCTTCAGAAATCTAAAAGAAACAAAGTCCTCGTCAGAGAAGTTAGTCGGTTTAGAAATAATAATTACTCGTGACAATCTCCAAATACATAAAAGTATGAAAAATTAATGTTTGGTCACAGATGCAAAAATATACATATATATAAAAAAAAATTCGTGTTCAACGTTGTAATTAACAAAGCCTTCCAGCTTTTTATTTTCCGTTTCGCGCACCACTCAGCTGGAAAGGGAAACAGTAACAGGAGCAAGATATTACACCACCAAACCATTTTCTGTTTCTGTTGCGCTATTAATTCCCTTCAGTCGCTTTCTGCCTCATACCAGGGGATTTATTATCTAGTTTTCCCTTTTTATTAGACACAGAGTAAGCCTATTAAACTCTGTGATCCTTGTATTTTTTTTTATTAAAAATGGGGTACCGTTTTAAGGCTGCCGTCATGTGTACGACACGTGATTGGATTCTTCTCGTCGCGTTTCACTCAAGCGATCGAGGATCCTCTTTTGATAAGGAAAGTTATATTCCAATACTTAGGCACGAGAAAAACAAGTTATAAAACCGCGGTCTGAAATAAACCGATGGATAGTTAAGAACTGGTGTAAATCGTTAAACAACTTATTACACACTAACTTCATAAACAGCTTTTGGATAGAGACTTTCATCTGTATCTTTCAAAGACGCTCACTTGAAAGGTCCTTGCATTAAAAATACTACAATTTGTTTTTGAGAGGAGATCTTGTCAATCTTTATGCCACAGAATTAAGAACGGAAACTTGTTGATAAACATTAGTGTGCGACACAACTATGTATTTGTGCTGTCAGTGAATTTTAATTTAGGAATAAATTTTCTTTACGAGTCAAACGCAATCATCTGTTAGTATTTTCGTTTTACAATTAAGGACAAAACTTTGGTGTATGAGCCAAAATTTAACAGCAGTTCAAAAGATCCGATAATAGTCTTGTTTTGTTCCACGCACTCTTCTTCAAATTGCCCACCGGTGATAAAGCACCTTCAAATTTCGTATGTATTAAGGAAATTTTTCGAAAAAAAATTCAAATTCATGTGTCTAACTGGCCTTGTGATCGGCTCGTATGGCAATAGGGTATTTAAAATTAAAAATAATTTACCTTCCATAAACAAATAAGTTGAACAGCTCTCCTTTGCTACACTTTGAAGTTCAATTTTATCCTCCACTTTCATATTTCAAAGAAAGTAAAACGAGGGAGTAATTATCACTCCCAGCATGTTAAAATAAAAAAGTCATCGCCAGAGATCTTAATCGGTTTTTCAAAAGAAGAAAAACATTAACTCGTGACAATTTCCTAACAGATAAAACTATGAAAATTTACAGATGGCAGCATATGTTTTACTAATAAATATTCGACAAATAGAGAAGGAAGACAAAAGAGGTGTAGGGAGAAAAACGAGACGTAGTCGAGTGTTTCACAGCCCCTCTTCTTGATTGCTCTAACCGCTTCCTAAGTTCTTTACAACAGAACAGGGCACAGTCAAGGCTTCTCTATTTGTTTTGTGATAAAGAATCTGTTAAATTACCCACGCATTACTTTCAATTTTCAAATAAATTTTAATTCCAAAGCGAACAACAGTTTTCACAACTGTACTATTAATTTGGTGCAAAGGTAAATTTACTGTGTGAAATTTGTTGAAAGAACATTAAATATGTTCCCACCATTTGTTGTGTCAGTTTCTGTGTTGATAATTAATTAATATTCATAAGTCACGTGCAGTGTCTTTATATCTGATAAAACACCGCATACTAATAAGGATGAGGTTTATCGATATAAAGTCACTGCACGTGAGGTATTATCTACCATTTGATAGGTTAATGGGCTTATGAATTATTAATGCGTTTTTGAAAATAACGTCAATTACGGCGTCTGGCATGTTTATAAACCTTTGTTTAGTTGTTCTGTTGCTACTTGCCGGCTCGCTTGTTTCGAAATTTCACTTTCAAATCACAAAAAAAGCTGGAGACAAGTCTCGGACATAGCACAATTTCATAGAGCACGCTCTTTTTATTAATGACAGCGAGTTTATCCGAACTTTACTATAAATATATGTGGATACATATCCCAAACGATATTCCCCAATTTTAAAGTGTTAAGTCCTCAACAATACAAGCGTTCGTTTAATATTGAATTCAAGATGAAAGAGCGTTTAGCTACTGTTGCAGAAGAAGGGACATGTCTGTTTGTTGAGTAAAGTTGTGCTAGAGAACACTGAAGAATAAAAATTTCACGCATTCCCGCGCTTTAAAAAAAAAAATTGTTCGAAATTATAGATTCTCGTATAATATCTGTCTCTCGAGGCTCACAGTTTTCCTCGAGTGTCGCTTTCGGAAAACTGTTCGCTCCTCAGAACAGATAGTGTCTACAGACAAATATCCGTAAGTATTTTCGCGCCAAATGAAGGTCATAGCTAATTTATTGACCTCCGCTTTGGTGAATAGAACATAGGTATGAATGGCCTTAGTTACGGAATGTAAAAATGTCAAAAATGCCGAAAAAAATATATTTTGGGAGAACGGTGGCATTTTGTGTTTTGGAACTTTTGGGGGTTCATGATCGTGTTTCCCGGTGAAATAGTGCGCCTCAAGATAACGGCCGGAAAAAAAATATTTCGCCAGCAATTCGGAAACCACATAACATTTCTAAATCAAGAGATGTTTTTCAAAGGTTCTGAAGTATTTTTTCCAATTTTTTACGAATTTTCTAATTCAGGTTAAATTTCACCCATCAAAACATTGCTCAACTTTGGCGACTAAAATCGGCTATTGTTAAATGGCTCCATAAACTGAGATAATAACTATTGTCAAGAACAAGGTTACTTTTTTTAGAAACTGCAATACAATTTTTAGGCTACTTAAACTACGAATTTTTAGAGCGATTTATATAAGAGTATTTGAGCTCAAGAAGCGCGTTACGTGACCAACGTGACTTGCACGTCACTTTAAGGAAAACACTATCAAAACACTCGAATTCCCTCTTATATCATACAAAAACTTCGAAGCAGGCCTCCTTCATATTCAATATACATAAAATTTTCTCCTGAAGCCAAAAAGTCAGAAGGAATTGCCCAGGTTATAATTACACAAAATGTTACCTTTAGAAGTGGTTTCCATGCGAAGAGTATGCACTTTAGCCCGCTCCACCGTTTCAAAACGTATCCATGCTACCATTTCTCACCATTGAAGTACGATCGGTGGTATGTGATTGGGTTACATATAGGAAGCCCCTTAAGTGAGAATGATACAAAAGATGACCAACGTTTTTGACAGAACAAGGTTGGTCTTTATAAAATCCTTTCGGTCTAAAATATTTTTATGTAAACGTGAGGTTTTCACTGCCAATTTTTTTAATAACAAAGCTACAAAGGGATAATGATATACCGTAGCCGCGTATGACGCATATGCACCTATTGTACTTATTTCTCTCAAGACAGTTGGAATAATGTTGGTGTCTCTCTATTCCAGTAGTCCTCATTTTCTAAATACGAAGACTATGGTCACTTCTGGCTGGAAAGTTTCTATTTTTCTTTGCACCTACACGACTTAATCAGTTCATCGATCAGACCCACGTATGGCACTTTTCGTGTAGCAGGAAGGGAATCAATTTCCAAGTGGAAATATGTGCATATATCTTGAAGGAAAGAAATACTGAAACGAGTAAGCTTGTTCGTAGCATACAGTTGACAGAGATTGTATGTGTCATACAAAATGGGATGACTAAGCTGGCACTCTTGAATTATCTTGTCACTAGCTGAGGAATATGCTATTTCTTCATCAATGGCTGGTACATCGATCTCTGCTACAGATCCCGCCTGTTTGATTTTTGCTGTTGACCTTGAGAAATTCGACTTTATCTGCTGTGGCGATAAAAACTCGCCAAAAGCAAATCGACGCTCTCTGTTTTCATTTTTAGCACGCCGCATATCACTCGAAACTTGGGATGAATCTTCTTTGTAACCAGTCTCCTGGCCAAGTTTGAACTTCTCATCGAGATAGTTCTTTTGGTTTTCGTTGAAATGCATTGATTTCTTAGACGCCCTCAGTGCCCAGCCTTCCGAAAGTTTTGTCGAGCTTGAAATTGGTACAGTGGAGCTGGCCATCTGAGGTTGTGTGCTTGTTCCTTCTGTCAGCTTTTGCACATAGAGTATCTTTGCTTTATCATTGAGGGTAGTTTTCTCTTCTACTATCCTTCACTTGCCGTAAAGAATTTAATATTCAAGATTCGAACACTGTGACAATGTTGCCAGTGCTGTAAACAGTACCGGCAACATTCGTCGTGAACATGATCACAATTTTCTTTTAAGACTTCTCTTTGACGTCGCTCACCACGTATGTGATACAGTGGTCTGCAACACTTGAAGCAAGAGATACATGGACCTATGTAAACAACAACAACAATAACAACAAAACCTGTGTGAGCGCTATTAGTAATGTGTATGCCTGTCTAGTCTTGGAGTGCTAACAAAGGCACGGTCGGCCTTCTTACATTCCCTTCTTTTTTAATCTATCTTTTAACTTTTTTGTTATGATACCGATTCTTATCCATATATTCCCAATATTAAAGGGCCTCAGAGTTTTGATTGGCTGCAAGAAATCACTCTATTCCCCTTGCTAACTGTCCGCGGAGAATTGCTTACGAGTCAAATGTCCCCGCCGACAGTGGACAAGAGAAATAGAGGGACTGCTCGGAGGCTCAAATAAATAATATCTAAATACATGAAGTGCAATGTTGTATCAATATGAACCTGACTCAGCTGCTATGGAAGAATGATGAACAGAAAGGATTTCAAAATTTTAAATTTTTCTTATAACTGCTTTTATTAATTTGGCATTTAGAAATATTGCTGCGCGTCCGCTTTGGCAATACCTTGCCAAATTCGGTCACCATCTTAAAGGTACATGCTGTAAAGCCCATTTTTTTAAGATGATCATAATTTACGCCCATCCTCCGGATAGATTTGATGAGCAGAGCAGACTATGGAGTCAAAACCCCCTATACAGAAATATTTATTGGTAGTGATTGTATAGTACCTTAAAGTCGGTTTTGAGATATTGCTTTCCTTCCTTGAAGACTTTTTCTAGTCGTTTTGCTGTTGGATTATCAATTCCATGAGTGGTCAGAGATTCAGCAATGCTCGCCAGGTCTTCCAGTGCTTCAGTTCCGCTGATAGATAATCAAGTCCTCGAAGAGACTTTCTTACTGTTGCTGAACACGATACCAGGATGTGTTGCATAGTTGATGCAATGAAGGGCTTGAAGTTAGTCTCCAAACAGTGCTGCTGGTATTGATCGATGACGCGCTGGTTTACCATACTTGGTATAACATTTGGGCTTTCAAGGATTTTGCCACCTGATAAATACAAATAACGCTGCCCAAAAGGCAAGTCCTGGATTACATGAGGATTCGTGAGGAAAGATAAAAAATAATTTAAGTGGGAATAGTCTATTCGCATCTTTGTACTTCTTGCAGTTGGCAGCGGTACTCCACGACCATACTTCTTAATGTGGCGTCCTGCGAATGTAACCCTATAGCGGGATATGCCTAGTAGATGCTCTTGAAGCTTCGAAAATGGAACCAAATCTACCATTATGGACAGCACTTGCCTTCGTGTTTCCTAACGAAAAGCATGTTCATGTGTTTCTGCTAGAGCTCTTAAATAAATCGTTTCACTTTGATCGGCGTTTTCTACAGTGCGTCATCAACCAGCCTGGCATTCTTCACTGCTTCCCATAAAGCACCAGCATCCCCAAGAGCAATGACTTCCAGTAACGCAACAATGGATTTGCTTACCTTTGATATGTGTTTCTTTTGGCTCTGTGCTTTCAACTGGCTAAATGTTTTCTTAGATTTCATGATACTATCGATTCCTCAATCAGAAAGGAACTAGTTGAGTTTGCTACGTTGTGAACGAAAGTCTTTTTCTTCTTCTTCTTGACTTGAATCCTCACTGCATATACCTCTAGTACACGAATCAAATGGATAGAACTATGAAAATTTACAGATGCCAAAATATGTTATGGCAATATACATGCATACTTATCCCAAGCGATATTACTTAATTTTGAAGCCCTAAGTCCTCAACAATACAAGCGTTCGTTTAACTTTGAATTCAAGATAAAAGAGCGTTTAGCTACTGTTGCAGAAGAAGGGACATGTTCATTTGTTCAATAAAGTTGTGCCAGAGAACACGCAGCAATCCTGCGCATTAAAAAAATAA